CGGTGGGTGGCCGGAGGTCACACGAGGTCACACAAGGACTCGTGGCAGAGCCTTCTGAGCAAGCTCAGGCCGCCTCCCCTCACCCGCACCCTGTCCATGGAGCAGCACCCCACAGCACCACACCCGCTCGCCCGGGCAGAGACCCAGAGACCCCACAGCCCTCTGACCCCGCACTGGCCAGGCCCCTGTTCTTCTCAGCACCTGACATTGCAGAGCCCTAGGAGGACATGGCACCCAGCAGCCATGAGCCGCAGAGAAGGGTGCGGGTTGGGCTGGTCCCACTCAGAGGGGCGCTGGCCGGTACCACTCACAGACTCCAGGCTGGAGGGCAGGGGCCTTGCGGGGAGCTCCCACGGTGACACAGGCTGGTGGGAGCTGGCTCTGTGTGACCCACCCCCAAGGTCAGATTGAAGGGCACACGCCGGGTCTGGGAGGCCCCCCAGGGTCACCAGCCCTGGGATGGCGAAGGCAGGCCCGAGGTGCCACCACACACTCCGCAGCAGGCGTCACTCATGAGCCTGGGCCTCCCAGGGACGCGAGCAAGGCCTCGGAGCCCCCTGACATGAGCTCACTCCAGGCCGTCCACCGGTCAGAGATGGCCCCAACTGGGCCCCCTGGGAGTCGACACGGGCCCAACAGGGCGGGAGCAGGGCCCACACCCCCCACGCACCTGCAGGTGGCTGAAGGTCAGGCCAGGGCTCCGGCCACCATCACACCAGCTCTCGTGGTTGATGCGGTCCAGGATGGAGAGGCTGTCCAGCCGGTGGCCCGGGAGAGTGCCCAGCGCACTGAGCAGCCTGGTGAGCAGGTAGTCCGTGGAGACCCTGGAGTGCAGAGACACGCCGCCACGCTCAGCGTCCGCCTGGCCGGGCATCCGCGGGCACCCTGCATCCACCGCTGAGCCCCAGAAAGAAGGGCGCGGCTCCTGTGGCCACCCTGGGTGGTGAGCCTCTCAGGCCCCGGACAGCCCAGGCACGTGAAGGGCTGTCACCGTGAAACACCCGGTTTTCGCTTAGACGTCCAGGCCCCAGGGCATGGGGGACGGGGGTGCCTCCGGGGCTGCTGGCCCTTTTGTGGGGACAGGGAGGTGCCACTCTCACCTGCCCTGGGTGGAGCAGGAGCTCCTGGTCCCTGGCAGGGGTACAAGTGGAGCCACCCCAGCCTGGCGTGGGGTGACATCTCTGCTCTGTGTGCCATTCCGGAAGCCAGCCTCCAGCCTGCAGCTGCAGACCACCGAGGGGCTCAGAATCGCGGCCCCCAGCAATGCCCACAGCACAGGGCAGTGCACCCCGCAGGCAACGCGTGCTTGCTGAGTGACTGAAGGGGGACCTGGGGACAGTGCCCTCGTGGGCCCCATGCTGTGTGCAGTATTGGTACTGGACAGTCAGCTGCCCACACACCGAGTCCTCGACGGACGGGGCACAGAAAGGCCGTTCCCGTTTACTTGAAAAAAATGAGTCTGCCCTGCCCAGCCCAGCCAACCCTTCCTCGGGGCTGGCGGCCACCCCCACCCTGGACACAGCCCCGCTCTGTGCAAAGGCCAGTCAGATGTGCGGGTGTAGGTGGGGGGAGTGGCTCTCAGGCACTCTGCCAAGAGGGCCCTGCAGCTGACAGCCGCAGGGGGGCATAACCGGCTTTCCAAATGTCACCAGCTTCTAAGAATCGACTCAACTGCACAGCGCCCCTGCGCCTCGACACTGGCACTCCTGGGGCGCCACCCAGGCGTGAGAGCTGGCAGGGGAGTCCCTGGCCAAACCCAGGCTGGCGAAGGGCCCGCATGCAGAGCATCGCATCTGCATGGGGCTCACGGGCCCTTGGAGCGGGGTGGCCAGGGGCGCTCGCCTCCGCCCTGCACCTCCCCTCACTCCTCCCGCTCACAGAAATACTCAGGCCTCCCCGTCCCTGAAGATGCCCCCCCCTCACCTCTCAAGCTGCTGGGGCAGAGACCGGAGGACCCCAGGAGGGGCTGGGGCTCCCAGGTCAGGCAGGGGAGGGAGCATCCGCAGCTAAACACTGTGGGCGGGGGACTCCAGGGAGAGGGGACCCTAACCTGGAGAGCAGCCCGGAAGGAGACCTGCGCCGAGTCCCAGTGCTCACTGCTCACCCTCACTGTCGGGGGTGGGGGGCTCCCTGAAGCCCCAGGAATCTGCTGAGGCCCTGGACAAGTCACCGGCCCTTGCTGCCTTCCCTCTGCCCCCGCTTCCTGGGCTGGTAATGAAAGGTCCCACCAGGGCGGCCTCCTCCATGATCAGGCCAGGCGCTGGCCGGCCCACCCCCTTGGCAGGAGGCAGAGGGCACAGCTCCACCCCCCAGAGCCCCGAGAGGGGAGCGCCGGCAGCGGGGAGCGGGCATTCTGGCCAGATCCCAAAGTCCCCTGAGGCCCCAGTGACCTCCGCAGTTCAGATGCCCGTGGGGCAAGTGGGAGGGGCACCCCGCAGGTTCTCCCTCCGGGAGTGGGGGCGCACTGGGTAGCACCCCCTTCCCGCCGGCGCCCGGGGGTCACTGTACCTCCAGAGCTGGGGGCTCGCTGGCACGAGGGCCACGCCCTGGCCCGTGATCCTCTTCAGGCTGCCTTCAGGGAACCCGGGCGTCAGCTGGGCCCTGTCCAGGGCCGGCGCTGGGCGCCTGCTGGGCACCACGGGCACCACATGGAAGCGGATCGTCCTCCAGCCTCCGGACACGAGCAGGGACAGGCCGAGCTCCTCCTCCTTCAGGCTGCCCACCGTCAGAGAACCTGCAACGGCCGGCCTGCCTGCTGGCCCCTTGTCCGGGCCCGACACTCGGGGCTGCTGCCACCGTGCCCACCGCCCTCCCCGCCCCCCACAGCCCCTCGCCCTCTCCCGCTCCCCCCCACCTCAGGCCCCTCGCTCAACACCAGTGTCCATCTGGAACCCAGCACACGCTCACACAGCTGTTACAGGCAAACTGCGCCCCCAAATTCACGTGTGGAAGCCCAGACCCCAGCACCTCAGACTGCTGTGTTTGGGGATGGGGTCGCCACAGGAGCGATAAGGCAGCGAGGCCTTAGGGCAGGCGCTGAGCTGCTGAGGTGGGGCCTGGTGAAGAGACGCATGATTCCCGCCCAGAGAGGAGGCCCTGTGAGGACACGGTGACAGGGTCGTCACACCAGGGACAGAGGCGCCAGGAGGGACCATGCTGCCCGGCCTGGGAGCCGTGAGGGTGAGGCTCTGTCGCTGAAGCTGCCCGCCGGTCACCAGCAGCGTGGACCGGTCAGCAGGGCGGTGCCCAATCCCCGTTGACGGCAGCACCTGCACCCTGGGTTTCCTTCAGGCACCCAGGTCAGAAACGTCCTTGTCACCCTGTCACCTCAACTCCGCACTCCAGTGCCCCGTCTGCTGGCCACGGCTCCCAGGCCTCCTGAGCCTGCGGACTCCGCTGTGACCTGTGGCCGGCCCCCCGCAGCCCAGGCCCCTCCCACCGGCCGCCCTTCTGCTGTCGGATGGGCAGCAGCCGCCCGGGCCGGGCCGGGAGAGGCGTCCAAGAGGAGCAGCTGGGCCCCAGGGTGGGGGTCCTCGGCAGTGGTCCTAGGGCACACCCTTGACCTGGGGGTCCTTCCTGCACGCCCTCCCCCCAGCTCCCCCGATGCCCCAGGTGGCTATCTGCTGGGGGAGGGGAGGGAGCATGCTAACTCTTCTCTCTGAGTGGCTTGTGTGCCAGGCTGCACCCCAAGGCTGAGTCACCCCCAGTGCCTCCTCGGTCTTCAGGAAATGACTTGGGGTGCGTGCTTTTATGCCCCTCTGCCAGGCTGCACCCCCATGCTGAGTCACCCCCAGTACCTCTCTGGTCTTCAGGAAATGACTTGGGGTGCGTGCCTTTGTGACCTGGCACCCCTGTCCTGGGCCCACGTCCCCCAGATGCTGACTGGTCGTGAGCCCCCCGCAGAAGACAGTCTTTGCTGCTGGGACACTTTGCTCAGTGTTGCAGGAGGTCGGTCCCACCCACCCAGCCGCCTGAGCCAGTGACAGAGGCTGGGGCTGGGGCTGCCACAGCCGGCCCCTGGGCGCAGCCTCTGATCTGGGCTCCTGATCACATCCGCTCACAAGCCCACCGCCCTGAGGGCCCCTGGTGCCCAGCTCAGACGCCCCCCACAGGAGGCCGGTGGGGAGCAGCAAGCTGGTGCCCAGCGCCCGGAAGGCCCCACCCAGAAGGCTGACAGGGGACAAGCCTGGCCCCCTGGATTCCGCTCAGCACCCTGGGGGGTGGGGGGCGCAGCCCAGGGCCCACTCCCCTAACGCAGAGCCCCCACGGGTCACAGGGCTGAGGACCGGGGAGGTGGGGGCACCAACACCCCTTGTCTTTCTCCCTCAGTTGTGCCTCCCCCCAAAAAAACAAACTAATACCAGAGGGAGTGAGGAGGGTGAGCTGAGCATGCTGGGGCGTCCACACCACACCCTGACCAACGCTGGCCCAGCACTGACCCCAGCCCCAGCCCAGCCCAGCGAGGGCGCCAGGTCAGAGGTCAGGAGCCCAACCAGCTGGGGCTCAGACGGCCTGTCCCAAAGGGCATCCCCAGCATGTGCCTTGGAGAAAGCTCTCCGTGGCTTGTGAGGGTGGGAGCCACACTCCTGGGGGCCCAACCCCCATGTGCAGACCCCTGTCCCCAGTCCCCTGCAGGGTACCTCCTGGGACCCAGCCCGGGGCAGGTCCTGTTCCTACCGCCCGGGTCACTCCACCCACCAAATGCGCCTCGGTTTTCCCATCACGTGATGGGAAAAAGGGGTTCGGTGACCCCAGCTCCTCCCAGTCACAGGCGCCTGCCAGGCAAAGCCGGGTGGCTTTCGTTTTTCTTCTGTCATGGGTCACACATTTATCCACAA